ATAGCCAAAATGATCCCCTCAAATCCGATCAAATTTGATGTTCTGGGGCTAACTTAATGCTTTTTCACTCAGCGCTATGCTCTGGCACAGCGCGTAATCTGATATTTTCTGGCTTAATACTGGCAAAATTTTGTGCCCTCCCTAATTCATTTGCTAGCAATTTCTCTTTCCCATGCAAGAGATTACGGTGATTCGTGCTGTCTGTAAAGGATATACACTTCAACCCTTCTTTTCTTTCTTTGCCCACCCTCCGTCCCTAGACACCCACTGAACAACGCTAGAAAACAGTCAGAAACGACTGTCTTTCCTCGAAACAATAATATTAGCATAAAATGCGACATAAAAAAAGGATGCCTAATATAGATGCCTCAGAATACAAATGCTAAATGAAGAAATGAGAGCCTACGCACGTTACGCTCATCAGTTCTCTAGGACTCGGTGCCCAGGACTGTCCAAATCGCATGCATTCTGTGAGCACAGCTTGCCTTCGAAATGGCTCTTCCTTGCTGGTACCATTCAAAATAAGGCGAAAGAAATGTGCTGGAAAAGATGCTGCTCATACCTTATGTTCGACGAATTCCGTGAACGTGGATAGCGAAAATTCCGCCATGCAATCACCGCACACAACTCGGTCGCAGCTGGTGCTACAGTTACTACTACTGGGCTGCGCAACAGCAGCAGCAGTAGCACTTGCGGCGCCAGCGATACCGTCGCAACAGTTCTCGCTTGGCACCACCTCATCGGCTCTAGCATCACACGGCGTTGTCGCAGCGCCAACTTTCACTTCAGGATGCACATCAGCGCCCGACTCGACGCCACTGTCTGAGATATCAACAGTTAAATGACAACATGAGTGGATCCACTGTCAGCATTATCTAGACGAGGACTGCCTCCTTTCTGCACTCAGAAAACACTAAAATCGCAAGCGTGTAAAGAAAGAAATCGGATGCGGACACAAAATTCAGCAGCAACAGACGCAAAGAACCCGTCACACGAGCGCAGAAATCACGAAGCCGGCACCAGATGTGATTTGGATGGTAAAAAAGTAGCAAAAAAAAAA